AAGCGGGATTCATCGCTGATCACCAGCCTGATGGCAGCCATGATGATCGGCTGCGACACCACACCACTCCAGACGACTCCATGGATGTTATGGGGTCCAAGGCAAATGTCTTAAAGGCCTCTGTGAGCGTAACTCATCTCAGACAAGCGCTGTGAGATTGTGGACGGTACCACGGGAGGTATACACATGACTGTAGTGCTTTGAGTAGTCGACAATGATGCCGTTGGAACAATTCGGGCCTGGAGAACAATTATCCTATCTTGCCTTGCATTTGTGATCCTTGGCCTTCCAGAGCATTCATTTCATCGGCACTTTCCTTGTAGCAGCCATTGCTGCCAACATCTTAGCACAGCAGTGTCTGTACACTGCAGGTGGCAGCCTATTGCTCGGTATGACCACCCAGCTTCACGTAACCCTACAATGCGAACATGTTTGAAGTTGTTTTGTTTAGTTGTCTGTAAGGTCTTCGATATCATCGTAAAGGCATGTTTAGTTGCTTCTTTATGGAATTACAATGGCAGCAACAAAAAACATACATTTTCCGCTTCTGTTACTGATTTTATACTTTTGCAAATTGTGTACTAAAAATGCGCACTATGATCACAATTCCTGTTCATTTGCCTTGAAACTTTGATCATTTGCATGTTCGATCAAGATGTTTTTGCATACCAAATTTCTTCAGGATCGCAAAAGTTCTTTTTGGTGATTCTATTTTTTTTGCAAATGAGTATACATCGGAATAGTGTGCGCACTGAAATGCAAATATAAAGTAGCATTTTTAAAATCCATGTTAAATTTCTTGAACAATAAAAACAGTTTTCAAGAATTTTTGAAATATTTTAGCATAAAGTCTGCTGTGTGGAGCATCCCAAGATCATGGAAGGATTGTATCTCCAAATACGTTAAAACATGCTTAGCATAATTTATGGCCAGCTACCATGTTTTATAGTGAGGACGATGAAGATGATAGCCGCGAATTTGAACGTGTTCGGATATCACAAACTAAAGGTGAAATTTTTTAGTAAATGGATTTTTTAAAGAAATGTGGAGAAGCTGTAATAAGTGAAGATGATATAACAGAAGTTTTTCATTGAAATGACAATGCCCCAATAATCAATCAATTAATGGATGTTGAAATCTGTAGTACGGTTCTAAATCCAGAAAATACCACTACCGATAGTCAAGAAAGTGACAGAGAGGTTATTGAAAAATGAAAAAATTCCGATTGACAAGTTAGTCAATATTCTCAACACAGCAATTACAGGACTTGAACAGTGGAACTTTGTGACTGAACAAGAAATTATATCTTTTTATAGAATTAAAGAGAAAGTATTAGCACAAAAAACGAAGCAACTTACATTCAAAGAAATGTTTAATAAAGTAAACAAATAAATATTAAGTTTTTTTTAATTATTATTTTTATACCCTTTAGATTGTAATTGCTCTTTATTTCAGAAATTATGATTTCATATTTTTAATTCTATAATTTCTGCATGCCATCTTACCAGATTTAAATTGATGATCTAATATCCGGAAAAATCCCAAATCTGGAATTACTGAAGTCCTGAGGAGTCCAGATTTCGGGCTTTGTACTACATATGTTACTGATTTATGAAAGTATAAAAATCCTATGAATGAAATTATTAAAGTATAAAAATTCTAAATCCTGTTGTATTTATCTTTTTCCCATGGTTCAAATGCGAAAATCTAAATATAGCCCAGGACATCACATGCATTTTCAAATAATATCCAGATTCTTTGGAAGAGTTATAATTTTAGATAATTACTGTTTTTATAACATTACTCAAAATTTCGAAAATACAATTGTACTTATGTAACCACCCTGGCATATTTTGGAGATTTTTTACTGAAAAAAAAAAAAAAATTTGACTTATAGTTATTGTTTCATTTTTTCAAATGGAAATTTCATAGCTATTTCTTTAAAAACAGATTCAAAGCAATATCTCCCTTTAGAGATTTTGGAGCAAAATGCTGCATTCCTGAAGAAATTTTACTATAATTACTTCCACTGCAGCCAAATTTGAGTTTAAGGCAACATAGCACTCTATAAAAACCACTAGAATACAACAAAAGGAATACATATGCAAATGGCAATGTAGCTAGTTAAAAGTAAAGAACTATCGCGTGCATGGTTTCCAGAATTCAGTGTTCAGCTAAGGTGGTACTTTGCTAATTAAGTATACAATTCACGATACATTCTTTTAATACAATAAAGAAAGTTCTAGCAATGTCACTATCTAGAACAGGGGTTCCTAATCCCATGTCTGCGGGTACCATGGCACCCGCTGATCGTTTAACGTGTGCCTGCCATTGTGCAATCACAATAAAAATATATTAGTTTTCAATAAAATTCTATGTGAAAGTTTTCTCATTTTTAATGAAATAGAAATTGTGTCCAACACAGATACCAGCACAAACTGAAATGTGACCGATCTATCGATCATTTATTATTAACTCTATCCAACTATAAATTCACCTTGAAAAAGTAAATAGGCCCATCATCCAACAGATATTCCAGAATGTGCTCTTAGGGACAAAAAATTAGGGACCCCTGATCGAGAATAACCACCAATTAATGATGTTTATGGAACAAAATTTCTGAATATTTTTTAACTGTAGAAACCGAGATCTACTGTAAGTGAATTAAAAAAAATAATAATAAATAAATAAATAAAATAAATAAAAAAATTAATAAATATCTGTTTGGTGTTTCAAAGTTTCCATCCTTATTAAAGTACACATATCTTTTTACTGATAATTATAAAAATATGCTCAAATATTCAAAAGCTGCCTTTATTTATATGTTAATTTAATAATTAAAAACTGCTGTTTCAATGCTTTATTTTATATTTTGTTTTACCCTCTCTCAACTTAAAAATTGTTTTCCTTTTAAAATCAGTGCATCTACATCAGCGTCCATATTCTTACCTGTCCCCTAATTTTTTCCATCGAACTAGTATTGTATTCGATTATTTGAAACAGTCACTCTACATTCTATAAAAATGAAAAAATTAAGAAAAACCATTAAGAACATCTAATTCTGCCTAAAAACTGCTCACATATATAGTAAACTATATTTTATCACTATTTTATTACAGCAGAAGAAATGTCTATCCAGAATCCAAGGGGAAAAGAAAAATAGCAAGGCTCTAATATACAGAGGCCAAGCAGTGACTGGATTGCAAGAAACATGTCCAACTAATACACAAATCATCACTTTGTTCAAAACAATCACTTCAACTAGAAGCAGACAGCTACTACGTGTGGTATTTGATGAGGCCAACATACAGAAACTAATAATGATAATACATAGCCAAAGCATCATAAATAGCTTGGTGCAAAATTAACACAATTGCTGAGCTATAAATGTAAAAGAATAAAATAAAAATTTAACAATTGAAACATGTAAATTACAAAAACATTCCTTTTTTTTTTTTTTTTTCATATGAAGTGAGAAAATGTGTTGGCAGGATGAAAAAGTTAAATATTACCACATAAAATTTTTCAAGCACACAAAAATTACCTAACTTCTGAATTACAAAGAAAACTGGAAGGTATGTCAAAATAAAATGCATACAGTTAAAGCTTAGGGCCCTATTTTTCAAAATGAAGGGCATAAAAAGTAAAGTAACTAATGACACTATTTAAACTATGAAGTAAAACAACTGATGAATTTCATGCATTAAAAGGAACATCAGAAAACATTAAATTCTAATAAGATAAACATTTATGCAGAAAAAAGATCCTGCTTATAAACTCATGTCCTATTTATAGTCCGGTCATGGGCCAACCAGCATACTCTGCCTTTCTCCTATACCCACATATTCCCAAGGAGATTTTTGGACTTTTATCATTTCGCTAATGCTACTGTTAATGACATGTTCTTATTTTGATAGACTGTAATATGGCTTCTGTCCAGGAACCCATGCCTCATGGTCTGCAGCCACCTAACAGAAGGAGAAGCTACTATGTGGCTAGGAAAGCTAGAAGATTTCTGTGTTATGCCTATGTCTTAATTACAAGACAACATTAATAAAGAACCCACACAATGATGAATATCACAAGTCCCTATGCAACTTTTTCCCCCTCCTTTCTTTTATTTTTTTAACAAATACATCAGTAATTTTTATAAATTTAATACACACGATATGGAATACTTTACGATACAAAATACTTCTGATAATTTTGATTTTTGGCACCACTGTCATTAGACATTATGTATCTAAAATATCTTTCAAAACTCTTTGACAACTTCAGAGAAGATAAGGTTTGCATACATCTGTTTGTACCCATAATACCTTTAACAACATCATCCTGAATAGCAGATTCCTCTAAATAAAGAATTAATATTTCCAAACAATTTTACAACTTTTTATATACTTATATTTAAATTTTAAACAAAATTTTACATTCAAGGTTATTTAATGATATGATTAAAGAAAACAAGAACTCAAGCTGTTACTCATCACAACTATTGCAAAAATACTATTTTTCCCCTTTCACTTCTACTTTATAATTCAATTTTTAACTATGAAAGAAGTAAACTCATGATATGAATCTGTTAATAACATACCATTAAAGAATAATTAAACTTGAGCATAAAAAACATGTATTATGTCGTCATTCCTTGTTCCTTTTGCTTAAATAAAAAGGACAAAAATTTTCTTTTGAAGAAAATAAAAAGTCGTTTAAAACTTTTAGCATAATAAACTGAAAATTTTCAATAATGTTTTCTAAGTCCTAAAAATACATGAAATGTATTAATATTTGTTATTAGAAGTGTACATTTGTCCTTCACTGTCTTAAAATATTCAAAGTTAGCAACAATTACATAAGGTTTAATGTGGTAAATATTTCTTTCATCACCCTGTCACACAGTATAATGTAAATGTGGACAACAGGATGGACATTTCTTTGCTGAAAATAGTACATAAGAATTAAATAAGTGAGTGCTATCACAAAGGTAAATATTCATGCACCTCTATTTTTCGGCCCTCTACCACCGTGCCGTTCAATTGCTCTCTCGAGCGATCAGCATCCACACTATTTGCGAAAGTTACAAACCCGAACCCCTGCATGCAAATAGACAAACAAGAAACATGCATTAAGATCCGTGCACCAGAACAAGTTTTGCCTGCAAAGAACAAGTACAGAGAAATATTTTTTGTAAAAAACAAGTGAGGACAAAGGCATCAGCTCACTCAGACAGTCAGTCAGTAACCAGTGTAATAAAAAAGCCCTCATGCAAGGCAGACCTCTGCACGGGCATCAGTAAATGTTGAAAAGAGCTGAAATTTCACTACATACAACTGTGGCAGGATATTAATAAGTAAATGAAATTTTTTAGATAAAGGTGCAGCTTTATTCCTACCATTAATTATAACCAGGCTCGCAGATTTTTAACTATGAAAAAAAAATTATGTAGAAAATGAAAATATATTTTCACTTCCCCTCCCCTATTTTTTTAGATTCCCTTTTTTAAATGTAAATAAAAAAGTAATAAGAATTTATATATATTTACATCCATTTTGGGGAAAAAATATTTTTGAAGATGCATTTTATGGTTTTTTTGCACATAAATGTCAATCTTAGGGGGGGGGGAATAAGATATTTTCCATAATTTTAAAATTTAAATATATCTGCAAGTTGAAAGGAAAGAAAGCTGCACAACACAAAAGGCGGAAATGTAAGGGAATGCTAATATGGATTATTGAATAATAGCAGTTAATTATAGAAAGATACTTTTCCTGCCAATCCCTTTAATGCTCTGCCTACCCACAGCTTCATGCACCATGCTTTAGAAGCTAGGTGGGAATACAGTAAAACTAATATGAAGACTTTCTTTTAAGAAAAGCATATAATAAATATTACATATATTTAAGGCAAAAATGACTTTTATAAATGGCATGATAATATTGCAATAAATAATGTACAAGGTGTCATGCATAAACTATTAATTATAAAAATTAATACAACTGCCATGTATATAAAGGCATCAAACAGTCACTTAGCAAATTATAAAATTTAACACAGTAATGCAATTTTATTTTCACAATATTCAGAAAAATATCTGTTAAAACTGTCTTGCAATAACTGAGCTTCTAAATTTATTAACATAAAAAAAAGGCATACATGTGATTTAAAATAAAATGAACAATTTACCTCCTAAAATTAAAAAAAAAAAAAAAAAGGTGTTACTTCATTCATTGCTACATATTAAAAGCATGAAAAGCAAAATATAAATAATTTCATAACAACAGTATGTAATATGTCCTGGCTTATTTTTTAAGTTATTTAGTGAACTACAGAGTAACATGATTTGTATTTGTTGATCTCTCCGTTAATTTGAGTATACCTACCTTCAAGATCATTTATTGTTCTATGCAAGTGCTTTTATCTGAATATGATGCATCTGCAAATGCTTACAATACAATATTGGCACATTTTAGAAGTCTAACAGAAAAAATTAACTGATGTTGATTACTTCTTATTTTGGAAAATAATATACTTGCAATAAACTAATTTTAAAAATATTATAAAAAATGTTAAAATAAATGTCTTCTAGCTAAAATAACTGTGATATTCTAAGAAACTGATACATTAGTATGTGACCAAAAATGTAAATATATATGTATGCAGATAAAATATTACTTTTTAAGAATTAAGCATAGCAAAAGGAATCAAAGTGCAGAATTTTAATCACAAACTTAATATATACAAAAATTATTATAAACATTACATAATGCACTAAAAAAACTAATCTACGACACTGCAATCACAGACATAACATTCACTATATTTATGCAAATATAATATTGTTTCAGTGGAGTATGAAAAAGAGAAAAAACAACAAATGCATTTTCTGCAATAATTTTTCTTTTTATTTTACTTTTCAAAGCAAAATTGGAAATCTTACTGAAGTTCAACAGAAGAGAACCTTAGTACATTTAGGCAGCACTTCAAAAATGAAAACCTACTCAATTTAATAAAATATATAAATAGAAAGTACAGAAAAAAAATGTGTTCAATTTGCAATACATAAGCTAGTCACAAAATGCAAAGAACAGTGAATTTCACATTTAGGCAAGTTAAAGGGGAAAAATAAAAACAAGAAACTACAGGTTATCAGCCATATAACATACTTACTTATTTCTAAAAATTAAAAAAAGTGTTAAAACATATCAGTTTCATGCCATCATACAATATAAAGTCAAATTTTATACTTCTTTACGTAAGACAAAACAATAATTGAAATCAAGAATTACTTCTAATAAATAAAATGCTGCACAAGCTATTTACAAACCATTACACAAAAGCTTTCATTTTATATGAGAAAAAAAATTGTGTGCTTTAGATGGCACTTTTTAAAACAAAATACGTAAAGTATAACAAAAAGATTTTTTTAACTGCATATCAACGATATAAAATACAAAAAAAAAGGAAGCATTAAGAAAAAATTATCATGTGCTTTAATTACAGTTTAAAAGTGCAGTCTAGTGAAATGCTATACAGAACAGTGAAACATTGTTGTGCCTTCAATTGCTGAGTACAGCAAATGAGAGTAGCTCTTAATACATTATAATGAAGCACTACTTAAAATTCCAAATCTCCCCACTTTCTATATCTTTATTTGATATTATTACATTTTGATAATAATTCAATATTTAAAAAAAATATCCATAAAATATTTATAAATTATGAATGTTGACTATAATACACTTTTAGCAGTATCTTGTAGTAATTAATTTTAACTGATAAAAAATCTAGCATTAAGGGTTTTTTATTATTATCATTTTATAATTTAAAAAAAAAAGCAACGCAATGCTAAAATAAAATTTAAAAAAAATACTATGCCCCCCCCAAAAAAAGAGAGAAAACCAATTTTTTTTTCTTAATTAAAAAAATTGAAGTACTTGTAGACGAATATCCACATTTTGCTGGTTTGCTGATGCCCTTGACACATCTAACTTAGTTACAGAGATTGCTTACATACCTTCGATCCACGCTCATTGAATATTATCTCAACGTCTAATATAGGGCCATATTGCTGAAATTTAAAAGTAATTTTTCATTACAATAAAAAAAGAAAGAATTAATTTTACAAACAAGAGAAATCTTTATATTAATAAAATATAATCAAAGAACGATAATAAAAAGTAACAGTAATAATCACTATGCACAAAGGTGTCCCAAATAAAAGTGTACCCAAATCAAATCCAAAAGCATTCCAGTTTGATTTGTGCTGATATTGTTAGGGGACAGCCAACCCTTTTTTAAGCTTTGTTTCAATTCTAAAGCCATGTTTTTGTACTCCATGTGACATTTGGTCGGTGATGAAGATGGTATTGACTTGAACACAGTTATCTGTTGTAAAGTACACTTCCTTTAAATTTTCCAAGGTAAATTTCCTGGTACGCCATCAATTAAAAATGCTACACCCAAGTTAGTTAAAAGGTGACATCAAGCTAGACTAAAAAGTACTGATCTGTCCCTACAGGCAACAGTAGGTCACATCCAATTCCTCTTGTAATACGATCCCACTTTCATATGCTAAAATTCAATGTCTAAGTACATCCATATGAAATATACATTAATGAAAGCAGATCTTACGTGTTATCACAACCACCTTAATAGAACTCACCAAATTTTTTTCAAAAAAGGCCAGAATATGGCATCATGTGCATACTCATTCTTCAGTAAATCATGCTCATAACAATCCTTCATTTAAGCAATGTTGTCATTTTCTTATGCATTCTTACTCTTGCATTCAAAATTCCAACAGATTTTATAGGCAAATAGACACCCCCCCCCCATAATCAATTTAAAAATATGTGCCTGTGAAATTTGCCAGCAGTTGGGGAAGGGGGGAGAAATGTAACATTTCTGTAGGAATACAGTATTTACTGCAAAATCACTAAAGAGATATATGTTGAGGTGTGTTTCATAGATAGCTTGTGTACGATGCTGAGTCTGTACATTGTCTGGTGATTTTTAAATGAAAATAGATTAATGCGTGCATGGCAAAAAGAACACCATGAAAAGATTATGGAAGGATTTTTTGGGGAAAAAAAAAACTTTATTTTGCTGTATCATACAGTGCTTATTTAATAACCAAAATTTGTATTTTAAATTGCTTCTGCTATGTTGATTAACAGGATAAATATCAACAGTTTGGCACTCTCGAGAACCAGCAAATTGCACCCAATAATAACTTTTACCTTTACGTCTACAAAAAATCACCAAGGTAGTAGTTGTGTTAATATGTAAGTTCCATGAAAACAGCAGTTTTCTGAAATTCAATCTGGTTATGTTTCTATTCAGGACACCTTATACAATGAATGTTATTTCCAAATTTTACATATTATTGTGCCTTATAAATGTAATAAAATTATTACCCCAAACAATTGCCGGAGGTCAGGATCTCTAAAACGAAAAGGTATATTACTAACATGAAGTCGCTTGGGTTGGTTGACTTTTGTCGCATCTGTAGTAGCAGTAGTAGTAACACTTGTAGAGCTAGTGCTAGTTTGGCAGCTGCTTCCATTCACTTCATTGTCCAAATCTGTTTGCTGTCAATAAAGAACCAACAAAAATTATTTACAATTAAGGAAAATAGTTTGTAACTATAACATATATAATAAATTTATAACATATGCCTTTCATGCATGCATACAGCTATTAATTTAATTTCAAATAGTTATTCCCATTCTCTATTAATTTATACTTCTACAGTTTTTAATCCAACTTATTTCATCCTGCCTTATTTAACTTTTTAAATAATTTTTCTGCATATGCTAATGTATCAATTAAAGATAAAAAAATTTCTATGTTCTCAATTGAAAATAACAAAAAAAGGAAGTGAAAAAAAAATTTTTTATTAACAAGATTATCATTTAAAATAGTACATGAACTCATTTTACTGATGCACACATTTATTTACCATAGTGTTAATATTAAGTTTGCATAAATTTCAATAAACTGAAAATATGGAATAAACTACGTTCAAATAATACAAATAATTACTTTTTAACGAATTATAAGAAGCATGGCAATAATCACAAAGTTTTGGAAAGGAAAACTCATTATTCCCCCCTAAAGTACACATGGCAGAAATTTTTAAAAAAAAAAAAAAAATCAATAATATTATATGAATAATTTAAAAATATATATGAATAATTTAAAAAATATTCTTTCAAATTAAATAACAAAAAGACTATATTTACATAAGACCAGTATTTAACACATTACTATATGAGCTCTTTTAGTGCACATTAATTGTTACTATTGGTAGTTAAAATTTACAAAAAATTCATTTAATTAAAAATACAGAAATGAATTATCTTTCAGGAATGATAATTCAACATTCCAGAAAATCCATGAGTATAAATTTTTTATCAGAATCGAAAATACATATATATTCAGCAATATGAGCATATAACAAACTAAATAAACATAAATATCAGAAATGTGAGCTGTTAGCCTCAAGTGGTCCACAAATTTTGTCGTGCAATTATCTTTTAACTTCTAACTCAGTTTATTCGCTAATTAAATATAACCCATTTACTTTTAGCTTATCTATATCTATACACTGTAACTTTTGCCAAATACAAGAACAAATTCTAATAACAACAAGAAATAATTCTAATTATTTGTATGTGAAGTGTGTTTATATTAAAATAAATAAATAGCTAGTACCTGCCTAAAATTGTTAAATATTTCCAATAAATTTGGTTTCATATATTTAACTCAACTTCATGGTCATGCAACAATTTTTTAGACATTAAAATAATTCAGCATGTGCATTAATACTATTGCAGAAAACTTATGTTTACATATTACCACAAAACTTACATAAAACAGAAAACTGATTATTATAAATCTTTTACAGTACGCTGCTCTGCTTATATTGCTGGGGTATGATTAAATGAAACAAAATCAAGTAACATTACGTTTACCCACACTCAGATTAAGAACAATACAAAAAAAGAAGGGAGAATAAATCTTAATCCCCCCCAAATCACAAGCAGGCAAAGCAATTAAACAAATATGATAAGGAAATAAACAGCATATTCTTTAAAAACCATGAAAGCATTCTACTGAAAAAGGATATAACTATGGACAAGTTAGTTCTAAAAATGTTTCCTACTGCATACTAGAAAACCAGACATTTAATTAAGCTGTTAGAAGAGTTAGTTTGTTGACAGGGGTAACGGATACTTATGCAGGCAGGTAAAACACATAATGGCATAATCAAAGCAAGAAAACAGTACTTCCACACTATATCGTAGTTAATAAGAAGGAATTAATTTGGTATTAGATAACCATCCACCTTGCCCCAATCTAATATTTAAGTAATTTTTAAAATAAACATTATTTACATACCCTATAAAGATGACACCATAGTGCCTCATGATCGAGTGGAGACTTCTCTTTGGGCTTAGGAAAGAACAGACATTTCAAGTAAAAAAACTTTTTTTTCCTTTTTTTCACAAAATAACACGAAATAAAATGTTGTTTCTGTCAGAATATACATTGGTACTTATGAACTAATGTTATCATCTCTTATCCTAAAATATCGAATGAAAATATATCCAAGTTTTATATGTTATAACATGCACAATTATAATATCTGTATTATGTGAATTAAGTTCAATTTTTTGACCGAAAACCCAGACAAAATGTTATTGATTGTAGAATTTTTTAATAAAGATTCACAATTTATTACTAAAGATTTTGTGATGGGCTGTTTCCTTATGCAGTTTTTAATGTAAGAATTTTTTCTTAGAGAATTCAGAAAAAAATAGTTTCTGATATAAATATTTTTCATTTTGACCACCATCTGATGGTGAGTGAACATACTCTTAAAGTGATAATATATTGTATACCCTATGCATTATACTGTAAAAATGGTTCCCTCAAAAGGAAAAAAAAAAATTATCATAAAGTTTTTATGACTGCCGATTTTCAAAAAGGTAATCATGACCACAATAATGATAATAAAGTTTTTTATGGAAATTTGGTAAAAATGTTTCCATAGCTAAAAACATCAATAAGATGGGACCTATGGTTCTACAAAATAGAAATATTTTAAAGGGGCATTCTACACATCAATACAATTCACTTTACAACAAGTGCATTCAGGTCTCCTTGGGAAGATGCGCCTACCACTCTTTATATCATCACATGTAATGGCTAGAGTGGCCCAGCAGATGAGGAAATAAAAAATCCTGCAGCTTTAGCCTGATGGTAAAGCTTCTTTTGAAGTCTACGAGTTACACAACGGCTATTCTACCTGAAATTCTTTTTACTTCATACTCTCTTCCATGAAATGGCTAGGGCTTTTTGCATTCATTTTATATCAATTATATGCCAATTTATAATGCTGCCAGTTCACATTTCCATCAACACTTCAGAATAGACTGTTGTGGATAAACATCAAACTTGATTAGCATACCAGCCTGCACTCTTTCAATTTATATGGTTTTGCAGACATATTCTGGAGGGGAGTACAAATTTCATTGTTCACTGTTATATATATAAATGATATTTTAAATGATATTGTAAATTAATTTGCAGCAATAAAATTAAATTTTTATTTATTTATTTTTGCAATTAAATTTCTTAAATTTTATATTAGCTTTTTACGAATAGAAAATATTTGTTAAATTCAAATTTCATTCCTTGCATCAATGGCGCAAGAGAATTATTTAAATTTAACTTTACTATATTCTTGTGTAAAATTTATTAATTTTTTCTCCCCCCTTTTTGATTTTGAAGTCACCTCGACTTGTAATTTTAACATTTAATTTGCTTTTACTACTTTATTATTGTTTCTAGATGTTGAATGATTTTACATTTTTGCTAAGGAACTATAGAGTCAAATGAATTTTTTAGCATAAGCTTTTAAATGTTCCTCTTACTTTTAAAAAATTTTAATATTTTTGCAGCTCAATGCGCAAAATTCTTGACCTTTAAGGTCTCTCTAATATATATATATATATATATATATATATATATAATCAAAATAGAAATTGAAAAGCTACAAGTAATGAGACGAAAGAAAATTTTTTGTGCAAAATGCTGCAAAAATATGAAATAATAGGAAGAAACATTGTAGCGAGCTTGCTAAAAAGTTACCAGGAGCTGTAGCTCCACGAAATAGTTCAACGCAGTATAACTAAAATATTATTAACATAGAAGAAATTTTTTGAAAAAAATTATTAACATGGAAAAAAAAGAGAAAAAAAAACTGCTTACATGCGAAATAAAACTGTTTAAAATCAATGTTGGAAAACATGTGAATGCACGAAAAAACTAATCTGAACATTGTGACATGTGAAAAGTTAATACATATAAAAACATATAATAAAAAAGGGGGTGGCTTCTTAAGCTTATGTGGCTAACAAAATTACTACAACTTGTATATCATTCTAGCAGTTAAAAACCTCTAACAGCATTTAAAATAGCTGTTAAGTGTAATCTATTTTGGTGAATCTGGCACCATATAAATCCACTTTGATATAAATCTAAGTTGCATAGAGTATTTTATTATGCCAATTTATCGAATTCCAGACTCTTTTGATGTTTTGAATATGATGGTAGGATCAAATAAATTTGAGAACCATTGTAAACACTGCTTGCTGTTTTGTAACAGGCAAGTCTAACATTTTAATTTTCTTTTCAAAACATATAAGAAAAAATCTGATATGTACACCACAACTTCCTTGCACGGAATATTAAATCATATGCATTTTTTCTTGCATTTCATTTAAATTTATTGGATTGAATTAAATCTACTTCGTCAATAGCACATAAACCACAATAGAATAAGTGCACTCTTAAAAATTCAGTATATTTTTTACTATAGCGACATTCTAGCGCTAGGTTCACTTAACAGCATTCCATCTCGTTCATATCATAACTCGGAATGCATATAAATTTATATCATTTGCAGAATTATCTAATCGTTTCCACATGTTCTATTCAAATACTATAATAAAACTAAAACGATGTATAATAGAAATTAAGCAAACAAAACAAAAAAGAAACAGTTTTTCACAGATGATTCAGTATTTATTATTCAACTAATTCAGTTCTCACTTCCCGACATGGCAAAAATACATAATAACTCACAATATCTATATTAAAAAATTATGACGTAAATCTTAAACACTTATTTCCTCAAATAAATTCCAGAATGGATTAAACATGATTTAATTTGCAATAATAAAAGAAGGCGTTATCTTTGTTGTAAAGCTAAGTTTCTCTTTGGCAACAAATCTGCTATTTTGCCAAGTTTAAAATATAAACAAACATGTCCACCATCGCAAAATTAATTAGGCTTAGCTGCACTTAAACAACTTTTAAATTGTTGATAACTCCACAAATATTTACCAAAGGCATAAAAACCTTAGTCGAAGATAAGAACAACATAATTCAAACATTTTTCAAGTGAAAAATGCACAATTTACGAACATATAAGAAAGTGAGATTACTGAGCCAAGTAACATACTGGATATATGCACATATATTTATATATTTTTGGTGCGACCAATTGCAACCAAAATATGAGGTGCACATCTATATGTTATAGAGTCCTATATACAAAATTTCGTTTTTGAGTTATGCAAGATACATACCTACGTAAAGACGACACGAAAAATTCTCTTTAGAATTCATTTTAAATCAGTTTTATAATTTTTTGGGGAGAAAAAGAGTCTTTTGTTCTGTCCTTATGTATCGATGTCGTGCAAAAACATCGTTAAATTGCATTCGATAGTGGTCAAAATGGATATTTTCGTTGAAACATGACGCCTGAAAATTTTCGCGATTACAATACTTTCTTTTTACTTCATACAAGGAAGTAAAAAGAGACAAATAACAGTTAATTTACAGCCTTCTTCACAAACAGAAAACTGGCTCACTGAGAATTATATAAGCCCAAAGCAAGGATCTTAATTGTGTGTTATAACATCAGATTGAAAACTGGTGTTAAATCTCACTGTTTGGAGGCCCTTTTTGTTTGCCAAAATCGTCCACATAAAAATACATTAAGTACCATAATTGCTTACTCTAGTCCCCTGATAGTTTAAATATTAGCAATATTAAAACTATACAGTTTTAACAAAGCAACATACAATGTGTTCATAGTATTATTCAAAACTCATTTATTAAAATTAATTATTAAATTCAGTTTTTGCTTACAAAAAATATAGTCTGTGTAGTGGATGAGTCTTATCAATGTCTCAGGTAGAAGAAGTAAGAGATACCAGGTGCTTATTGCTAATATTGCTTATTAAAATGGCGGGCATTTGCGAATGTGTCATGAAAGCTACTCACGATGCATTATGTGTAAGTATGATAAATATACAGATGACGTGGTAATGGAAACTGCTTAGTGAGGTAATTTTGCCACAAGTGCAACTGTACATAGCTTGTTTTCTTTTAATGGATGGCAGCACAACATCCCATTACAATACATGTTGGAAAATGATGACATTGCTCAAATGGACGTGCTTGCTCATTTGTCTGATCTAACCTCACTGAACATCTTGTGACGCTTTGAAGGGATATCCTGCAACTACATGCCCGGGCAACAACTGAAAATTCTGCTAATAGAACAGATAATATTACTGCTATGGTCTTATCAAGCCCATCTGAAGTACGTTGTAGGATTCAAAAGTTCCTGAACTTAGTCTATAATGTAAAACATTTGTGCAGTAGTGTGACTACGAGAATGTTTTTGTGCTACTATGTTCTCCTTTTCTAAAAGTGGTTTGTCCCAAATCATGTGGTTGAATGCTCACGGCGACAGCGTCTTTTGTAGGCAGTTTCATTTATTAACCCGCGAAAGAAAGAAATGGCATCAGTTGAGCAGAGACGTTTGTGTTCGCTTGGGAAAGAGTGCTACGGAGACTTTCGAAATGTTGAAGTATGTATATGGAAGTGAAACATTATCGAGAATGCAATTTTTTGAGTCGCATCATCATTTCAGAGAACGCAGGGAAAGTGCCGAAGACGAAGAACACTGTGGCCCTCCCGTGACTCTGCCCCGATGAAAACATAAAAAAGGTGTCTGCGGCAGTACGTGCGAATAGCCAGCAAACTATTTTCCAAACAACAGAATCAGTTGGAATATCAAAGGACACATGTCAGCAGATACCGACTAAGGATCTTAACATGCATAGGGTGTGTCAACACATTGTTCGCCATGTGCTAAACATAGACCAAAAGGGAATTAATTTGAATGGAAATGGCGGGAGACTTAATCTTGGCTGTTGACAAAGATCCTTCTCTACTTGGCAAAATTGTTACTGGAGACGAGAAATGGTGTTTTTTGTACGACCTGCAAACCAAGAGTATTGGCAACGTGGAAATCACTACAATCTACACAGAATCAGAAATTCTGGCAAGACCACTTTAAAAGAAAGGTCATGCTAGAGGTATTCTTTAATATCCAGGGCATTGTGCATCTGGAATTGATCCCTGAAGGATGCACTATGAAAACAAAGAACTCTATGTCGAAATCCTGCGTTGTTTGTGCAAGTCGATCCAGAAAAAGAGACCAAAAATGTGGGCCGAGCACTTATGGGTGCTGTTGCATGACTCTTCAGGGTCATTGCTTTCAATCTTCAGATGAAGTTAAATGTGCATTGCACGCGTAATTAAACGTCATGGCCAAAAATGTATTCCAGGGATGCTCCGATGAACTTTACAGGCACTGACAAAAGTGTGTTGTTGCACAAGGGTCTTATTTCGAAGGAGGATGTGTTTCTGCAATTTAATTAAGAATACTTTTTACGCTATAGACTTAGTCCGAGAACTTTTGAGTCCTACCTCATATATATATATGTGTGTGTGTGTGTGTGACCCAAAACATCAAATGTTATACAGTACCTCTTAATTACTTATTTAATCTATGACAGTGATTTACCTGCATCCTGTACCAGTGCAGTGCAACGACTTTTGAATAAAATGTTCTTATGCACCTTTATCTATCATTGCTATTGCATTGTTTTCCTCATTATTTTGGTATCCCCTATTCACTTAGAAGAATGTCAATCTCAGCAAGCATTTTTTTTACAAATAGATAGATCAGAGGAACAGCTTCAGTATAGCCCACCTTCAAAATTTGACGAATTTGTCTGGCGCCAAATACCGCATTTTGAAAAATGGTTGCCATCAAGATTTCCGATGAAACTCTGTGTTTAAAAAGTGGCGATCATTTTGTTTTCACCAGAAATCATGGATAACAGAAATAAATTTATGACTGTTATGCATGATTTTAAAAGAAAAAAAAATATTGACGAATGATTAATGAAAATGATTAAGGTTAAAAGGATGTAATTTTGAAAACAATGCAGAAAACCTTTAGATATTCCCCCCTTAACAAATGATTCTGTGATTAAGAAATAATTACCTATAAATTAAGCTTACTACAGGCGAACCAAGATCCCAGCCTAATCGATTTCTCAGCCCTACACTTCTTGCACCTCTAAACACTACCATTCAATGACTTTTCCTGATTAACTAACCTGCATGGTATCTTAAATTTCTCACAACAAACTCTATCCTTCAGTAATCCACAATCCATCAAAAATCCTCTAAGAAGTTCATCTCTTGTTAATTCATACATAAAATATCTGTTTGGAATGCCCAGCTTTCCCAAGCTTTTACGTTTGTTTGAAAACTCCTACCTTAAATACATTCTCCTCTATGATCTCCTAAAACTTAACTAACAACTAAACAACATCACTAACAGTAGGTTTAGAGTAAGCCAAAACTAAATGCAAAAATTTCACTTCCAAAGAAGCCAAAAATCTTATGTCCAAAACAGTATTTTCCATGATGTCTGAGTGTTAAGTAATCACCAATAATAGCGTTACAAATTTTGTATTTAGATAGTTAATTTTAGTAGAATTATTATTAAAACCGTTGTATTTACCTGTGCAATGCAGCATGACACAAATTTTAAGAAAAGGCTATGCTGGAAAAGTACGAATACAAGGCACGTACATTTAACTTTGCATAAATAGCTACAGTGGATGGACAAAAAAGGTGTTTTTAAAGAAAGTTTTTTAAAGGTGTTTCCATATTTTTGTCCAACCCCTGTATCTCGGTAATTTGTATGAAAATGAATAAATGCAATTGACTGCTATGTTAGCTGTACCTGTAATTCTTATTGCTTTTCAGAAATCTCAAGAAGCAAAAAGTACTAGAAATTTACAGTTGTTTACATTATATGTTTGCAGAATGGTATGGGTTACCACATGCTCGTTCACCGGTATAGGTTGCCATATCCAATCATTTATCACCATGCTTGGCGATATTTTTTTGGTGAGAAATGTGGGTGGGCTATACTAAAGGATAGCCTTTACCAGAAAACAGAGTTTGTAAAAAATGAAACATCATAAAAAAGAAGTAAAAAAACTGTAGTTTATTAAAACTATAGGGTTTTTTGGTGTGTGTGTGTGGGGGGGGTCATTTATAATTTAATCTGGGAATTTATAATCCGGACTGGCTAAGTGAACAAGAGTACATATAATCAATTCACAAAACATCAGTCTGTCTTAGAAGTACCAGTTTTCAAGCTTTGTTAACGCCATGATCATGTAAAATAAATTAAACTATTTTAAAAACAATAATATTTAGAGTACTTAACTTTAGATATATAATAAATATTTCTTTATATAACCCACAACTTTAGAAGTTGGTAAAGACATATAAGCATACATTCATTCATAAAATGCAGGAAGGACATGTTATAAGAAATAATCCAATTACTGTATTAGCAATGTAGCTTGCAGCTTTTAGAAACATTTAAATATAATTATATTAAATTTAAAAAGCAAGTTTTAGCAAGCAAGTCAGAAAGAGAGTAATAGTCTTTCTCATAATGTTTCTAAATAAAAATATATTCAAACTGTTTTATAAAAATTCATCAAGCATGCTTTTTTAACATAGCAAAAACTACAAACATTTACGATACCAAACTAATGTAATGTAATGTGGCAGAATAAATCTCAAATGATATATATTTAAAACATATCCATTCTCAAACAATTTCAATTTTGCTACATAATATTTAATTTATATTTTTATCACATATCAAACTTTAAATAAATTTTAAAAAGGAATATGCTTTAATTATACAGTCTTTATGAACTGGTCAAATAACAATCACCATAAAAATATCAGAAAAGAAATTTAAATTTAAATTTTCTAATATAAGTAATAAACTTCACTAAGGTAAACAAATGAATATTACTTACAGTTTGTTGTTCAATGCCATTAGCAGTTATGATAGATGATGGGAAAAGAGAATTTTCTTTTGCTTCAGTAGCATGAGATTGAGATGGCTGACTCTGTTCATTATTTGGTGAGTATGGTGGATAAGCCGGTGCAAGTTGTGGAGTAACCATATGCTAAAAATAAAATAAATAAATAAAATATCAAAAATTGATTATAATAATTTTTAAACAAATTATTCAAGTATGCATGTTTGAATTTTCCATTTTTAGGCATTTCAACAGTTCGTCACATAAATGTAGCATCCTATGCCCCTGCAATTTTTATTGTGTATATAATACCTGCTCAGCTATTTAGCAAATATGGATATTAATTTAGAATATTAATTTTCAGTATCCACAGCTATTATCAAGCCTTAAGTATTGCATAAGCCTACAAGTTCACAATTTTAACTAATTCTTGATAACTTACATGAATAAATTCACGTTTTTTGAATGAAAATAGAAAACTATCAATTCAAATTATAATTTTTTAACATTTATATAGCTTATATTATCAGGCACAGGGCTATCATCCCTAATTATTATCTATATCTGCAATTCCCAAATTAAACTTCGCGCTTATACAGAAAAAGTGCAAGCTTTCCACTTCAAATTAAAAAACTTATTAATTCAAATAATAATTTATTGACAATTGGGTAGCTCATATAATATTAGATACCTCATGTGTTGGGCAAAACCAGGGAATTTCCTGGAGGTTTTTCACACTGCACAGCGATGTTATTTCACAAGAACCCCAAACTGACTTAAACTGACCCAAACTTAAATTTGTTTATAATGTATAATTGTAATTACTGAATTATTTATAATATCACTCTTATGTAATATATATATATATTTAATTAGACAATCTAAATTTTATTATCTTTGGCCAATTTCATTTTGTAAGTTTGTTACACTTCTATAGTAAGAAAGTCCTGGGTAAAGAAGGAAATTTAATTTATTAAAACACTTAACATGATGAAAAAATATTAATGAACATAGCATTATGCAGTAATGCACCATTTACTGATGTAAAATAAAATTAAATGCCAATTTGATGGATCAAACATTGGTTGAATCTTTATAAAAAGTCATATAAATTGCAATCACGAAATAATTCATATATAGTTCTACATATCTGCAGATAATTAATATAATACATAAAATAAAATAAAATTTAATGAGAAAAATATACTGAAATTCACCAACGGTGAAGGGATGAAATTTGCACAATTTAAATTCTATCAATTCAATAAATTTCATTTATTACTGGGAAACTGCTAAAAATTAAACTGGGAGATTTGGTGATACACAGGGAAACAGGATGAAAAACTGAGAATATCCAATAATATAGAGAGAGCTGGCAACTACATCCTCACTATAATGGGATAAAAATACATTCTTCATATCCAAATTTACATGTTATAAATAAGTACACAAAAAATAAAAAATGTATATTACTTACAATTTGTTGTTCAATGCCATTAGCAGTTATGATAGATGGTGGGATTTTTTTTTAACAAACTTGCAATTTTAAAATTTTTGAATTAGTTTACGACAAAAATGAAAAATGAATACACAAAATAATAATGCAAGATATTATACAAATACTTTGCACTATTTCTTAAATCAAAATAATATCTGCTTTGCTGACATTTATTTTTTATTATTGAGTACAACTCAGTTTAAAAAAAAAAATCACTTTAAAAAGCTCTAGCAATTCATGTCTGAATAATTTTTTAACATAAACAGTACAAAAATATAAAAATAACAAAAATATATGATTGATTATTTAAATAAAATATTTATATCATACACACATTTATAAAAAAAAATATAGAAAGGCTTGGAAGTGCATCATGGTGCAAAATTTCATCATAATTGTCAAGATTTTATTTTGGATGCACATAATATATGTACAGCATAGTGAGATTAATAAACCTAATATAGGAGAGTTGGCAACTTATTTCATTTTCAACACTTGGGGTATTAAATAACATTTTTGCAAAATGTTGTTAAGAAGTCTACATAAAATGACTTTCTCAATGATTAAATTCTGCTCAAATTCAATAAAATCTCTCTATACTGGCACTATATTCAGTGCTACTAAAATAATTTTACAAACAATATAATCTTAACACATTTTCACATTTAAATAGCTGAAAATTATACACCAAACAAAACAGATCTTTCCAATATGAAGTGAAATTTCACTATTGAATAAGAGAAAGAAACGTAAAATAAACAAATATAGTATTTGTAGTGTTTAAAAAAAATCACTTTTATTCTACTTTAATGCATCTGAGCCTTAAATTATATCTAGTAATCCAAAAAAAAAAAAAAAAAAAATACAAATTGTTTATTTACTGCAAACATTTTCAGAAATAAAACAATTATACATAAACAATGACAGAAATCAACATCTCTTTATTTTTGCTAGAACATACTACAGATTTAAATTATAGACATTCTAAACAATCACATCACGTTCCAGTCGCTCTGGGCCGCTTTGGGCGAGGAGCTGATACAGCTTTTAAATCATCCAAAAACACCTGATACAACTTGTAATATGTCCTACCTTAAATCATTTTTAACAGTAGAATAATATCATTAATAATCATTATTATTTACACCATAAATGCGCATAAAACTGCGCACAGAATATACAGCGCCTAAAAACGCCTTAAAATGCAGTTACCTTTTTTAAACAAAGGGAAATGAAAGATTTTTTCTCACAACAATGAGGGGACATGTGATATTATAAAAAAAAAAGAAACCGATAATCAATGTATAATAACAAACACAATAATACTTTAGAAACAGTAAAGAATATCTTACCCATATTTCTGAATTAAGTTCATACCATTCTATTTCTAATTCCGATCGCATTTTTACAACTCTATAATTAAGGAAGTTGTGGTCCTCCATGACAGTCAAACAAAAGCAGACGACAAGCATTTGCGCACAAATTTGAAGATGTCCATAGCAATAAATAATCAACATAAAAGTTGCATGTTATTTTAAGGAAATTTATATTTTCTTTTTTGACGTATACTTGATTTGAGTTTCTTAACGAAGTTACAAATAGCTTTTCTTTTTAATAAACAAATACATGTTCCTAATTAGTGTCATCTTCACGTTGAAAATTTTTTCTAACTGGAACTGTAGTTACTGGCGACCAAAGCGCAATCTTTTAACTCACCTTTGTTAACATATGTTTACACAAAAGAACTCGATTGTAAAATCATAGATGTAAGACTATGACTGGTATAAGATAAAAATCGGTGATTTTAATTTAAGCATATTCATTTACAGATTTAACATAACGAAAAGAACGTTACAATAAACTTCAAAATAAAATTTTGCTACGAAAATATATACAACATATGTGCTTAGTGTGTTAAATTAGGTAATTTAAACTATAGATATTAAATATGGTTTTCCAAGTCACTTTGTAATCATTCAAGAAATACGATTTTTTTTTAAAGCATTTAAAAGTGTAGAGTCATTAGGTTATACTGACGCAGGAACGGAAAAAATGTGCAATGTCCTCTCCAGGATTCATAGTTATACTTAGTGCGCGCTTCTAGTTACAGCATAAAGGCATATTATTGGAAAGGAGGGAGAAAATACCGTATATACTCCCCCCTTTTAAAAGGCGATTGGGGATTAGGGACCCAATCGCCAAATGGTAGTGGTGACGAATTATCATCAGCAAACTTTCAGTTCGGCGCTTTTTTTTTAATTATTATTATTTTATTTTTGATGTCAGGAAACTGAAGAAATCCTCAAATACCCTCGCCAGGATTAGAACTCCGATCCTTCCCAATAAACTTCAATTGTTCTTCCATTTATACCACGAAGGTAAAGGGAAAGGAGAAAATACCTTATAAAATAATCAAAGAATTCTTTTATAAAAGAAGGATTACATAATGATATATAAACTAGGAATCCAAATTTCTCTGAAACAACCACTTCTCTTCTTAAGTGTTTCCCTGCATTGAAAAAAATAGGCTCCAAAGTGTTAATCTTGCTTTTCCTACGCTTTTCATTTGCTTTTAGTTAACCGAAAATATTCATTATTTAAAAATTGGCGCTTTCTGTTTCTAGTTTGTTTGAGCTTTACTGGGCAAAGGCCTCTTTGTTAATTTATATTAAACAGCAGCGAATGTTCTAAACGCCTTGGAAACACAGCTTGAATGTTTATTTTGTATAAAATCAGAAATTAATCAGTGTAAAATCTGCATCGTAAGTCTTAAGTGACTCTCTGATCGCGTCCTCTAGTATTGAGATGGTTTATACGTAGCGTTTGGAAGTACCGTTTCATTCTAGCGCCGTCGCAGCGCTGTGGTAGGCGTCCCGCGCATGCGCACTAGTATTTCTTGTTCAATGACTTTCAATTGTCGCCATTTTTGGCTGCTCTATGTTGTGTTTTCAGTTTGCTGTGCACATTCAAAATGTTTAATGCAATTAGTTCTTCCGCTGACAGTGAGATTCGTGCCGTGATTAAATTTTTTTGAACGCGAGGAATGTTAAACCGGCCGAAATTTATCGTCAAGTGACAGAAGTTTACGGTGAATACGCGATAAGTGATGGAATGGTGTGAAAGTGGGTAAGAATGTTTAATGCAGGTCGAACAAATGTCCACGCCGAGGCTCGGAGTGGTCGGCCTTCTGTTGTCACCGATGATTTGGTAAGGAAAGATGATGAAGCAATTCATGAGAACAGTCGCTTCACAATGACAACTCTTTCAGACGCATTTCCACAAATTTAACGTACTGTTTTGTTCGAAATTGTGTCACTGTCAAGCGCTTTGGATCTGACGATGACACGAAAAATGCGTGGAGTCGTGGTTATCGAAAGGCGGGAAGTTTCTTTGATGATGGTATACAAAAACTGGTCACCCGCTATGACAAGTGTTTGATCATTGGCGGAAACTATGTTGAAAAATATAGTTTAAGACATGTATTTTCATGTAAAAATAAAATTGGATTCGAAAAAATTTTTACTTTTTTTTTTTTTTTTTCCTGTCCCAAAACGATACTTAGTTTCCGAATACGCCTCGTAAATGAAGTCTATAATGGCAGAAACATCCCACGCATTCAACTTCGCTTTGTTACCAAAGGCCTGCCCTC